TTTATTAAAATTATTTATTGTAATAATATTATTTAGCAGTTAGTTAGTATAATTATTTATTTATTTTTATATTTAAATAATCTAATTAATATAAAGATCTAGTTATAATATTTTTTAAATAATTATAAAATAGGCGACTTTAATTATTTATAATAAAATAAAAAAATAGCTTTCAAAATTATATTATTTATATTCTAATTAATTTAGTACTATTATAATATATATTAATTTATTTTTATATTTTTATATCTAATACTTTTAGTTTAATAGTTTAATATAGAACTTTAAATATATCTGTTTAAATATATTTATTATTTAATTAGTTATTTTATTATTTATTTTTATAAAATTGGAACTGCTGGTCTAATTAGTTATTAGTTATTATATTATTTATTATTTTTTGTATTATTAGAATATAAATTTATATTATAGACTTTATTATTTATATAATATTTAGATTTATATAATAAATTCTAAGATCTATTATTATAACTATATATATTTAGTAATATTAATAGTATTTATATATAGTTATAATAGTTAATAAAATATTTATTCAGCTTTTAATTATATAATTTTAATATAGATAATTTATTTATAATATTAAACTATATATTAGCTTTTTTAAATTATTTATTTTATAGTATTCTAAATCTATATTATATTTTATTTTATAAAATCTAGAAAATTATTTTTAGATATAGTTATATATACCAGCAACTAATTAAATAAAATATTTTATAAATATATTACTTATTTGATTATTTATAGCTATAAATTAAGATTTTATATTTAATTAATTTAAATAATTTATTATTTTTATATTATTTAGATATACTTTAATATTTATAATATAATATTTACTATTTAATTATTTTATGTAATAGAAAATAACTATAACTTAGTATTTTTATTGATATAAATATAATATAATCTAAATCAGCTAAAGAATAAATATTAGTAATCTATTATTTTATATAATTATTAAAATTTAGTTTTATAAATTATCTGCTTTTATAAGATTAACTAATCTTAATATAAATTTTATAATTATTTATAGAATTTTTTTTAATAAATTTAGATATTATTTATTATTTATATAATATAATTATAGTTATATTCTTAATAATATAGTATATTATTATTAAAAATAAAAATTCTAAAAATTAATAATTAAAATTAGATAAGAAATAATATTATATTAGATTTCAATATAATATTATTTTATTATATAATATTATTCTAGATTACTATAATCTGGTTATAAAAAATATTATAAATAGATTATTTTAAATAATAAATAATTTTTTTTAGTTAAATCCTATATTAGTATTATTTATAAATTACTACTAGTAGTATATTAAACTGGATAAAATATATATTTTTTATTATACTACTATATTAGTAAAAGCTAAATTCTTAATATAATAAAAAAAAATTAAAATATTTTAGCTTTTAAAAATAATTATATATAATAATATTACCTCTGAATAATTTTATAATATTTATATTAAAGGGTCTAGACTGTTATAAAATAATAATAAGCTAGTAGCTGTTTTATAATATAGACTTAATATATTTATTTTATTTATTCTATCTATTTAATCTATTTAATCTATATAATTTATTTTATTTTAATAATCTAATTATTATTTCTGATTTTTTTATATATAATTAAAATCTTTTTAACTGTTTATTTATTTTTGATTTTATTTATAGTTTTTTAAACTATATCTTATCTACAAATCTAAAAATAATCTAATCTAATAGCTAGTAAAAAACTTAAAAAATTAATTATAAAATATTATTTAGTTTAAACTATTATTTTTATTTTTCTAGCTAGACTAAAAACCAGATATCAGCCTGTTTTTTAATAGACTATAATTAATAAATATTCTAATTTAAAAATTATAGATTTTGAATCTATTATAATCTAAGTAATTTACTATATATTATACTTATATTTAGAAAATAAATAAATAAATAATATTTTTATAATCTAATATAACTTTAAGTAATTTATCTAGTTATTTTTTTTTAATTTATTATATTATCTTAGTCTGATTAATTATATCTAGAAATATATTTCTTAATCAGAATATTTACTAGATTCTATCTTAGGTCTGATAAAGATCTATTAGACTAATTCTTATGGATTAGAATAATTATATATAATAATATTACCTCTGAATAACCCCATAATATTTATATTAGAATGGCTGGGCTGTTATAAAATAACAGCAGACCAGCGGCTATTTTATAGTACAGATTTAATATATTTATTCTATTTATTTTATTTATTTAATTTATTTAATCTATTTAATTTATTCTATTCTAATAATCTGATTATTTTTTCTGATTATTTTATATATAATCTATAATTTTTTTAACTATTTGTTTATTTTTAATTCTGTTTATAGTTCTTTAAGCTATATTTTATCTATAAATCTAAAAATAATATAATCTAATAACTAGTAAAGAACTTAAAAAACTAGTTATAAAAAATTATCTAATTTAAACTATTATTTTTATTTTTTTAGTTAAATTAAAAATCAGATATTAGTCAGCTTTTTTAATAAACTATAATTAGTAAATATTCTAACCTAAAAATTATAAATTTTTAATTTATTATAATCTAAGTAATTTACTATATATTATACTACTATTTAGAAAATAAATAAATAAATAATATTTTTATAATCTAGTATAAAATTAAATAATTCAGCTAGTTATTTTCTTTTTTAATCTATTATATTATTTTAGTTTAATTAATTATATCTAAAAATATATCTATTAATCAGAATACTTACTGGATTCTATCCTAGGTCTGATAAAGATTTATCAGACCAATCCTTATAGATTAGAATTTATAATTATAATATTATTTATAGCTAGCAGCTATAGTTGGAATATAAATAAAAAAAAACTAATATAAATAATCTATAAATATAAGTTTTTTTAAAATATAAATTATTAGAATTAGCAAATATTATTATTAAAAAATACTCTAAAAAAATCTAAAAAAATTTTTATTTTAAAAATATAAATAATTAAAATTTAAAATTATAATATTATTTATAATTAATAGGTATAATTATAATATAAATAAAAAAAAACTAGTATAAATAATCTATAAATATGAATTTTTTTAAAATATAAATTAATAGAACTAGTAAATATTATTATTAAAAACTATTTTAAAAAAATCTAAAAAAGATTTTATTTTAAAAATATAAATATTTAGATTTTATAGTTATAATATTACTTATAATTAAAAGCTACAGTTAGAATATAAATAAAAAAACTAATATAAATAATCTATAAATATAAATTTTTTTAGAATATAGATTACTAAAACCAGTAAGTATTATTATTATAAAATATTTTAGAAAAATATACAAAAAATCCTATTTTAAAAATATAAATAATTAAAATTTATAATTATAATATTATTTATAACTAACAGCTATAATTAGAATATAAATAAAAAGATTAATATAAATAATCTATAAATATAAGTTCTTTTAAGATATAAATTAGCAAATCTAGTAAATATTATTATTAAAAAATATTTTAAAAAAATCTAAAAAAGATTCTGTTTTAAAAATATAAATAATTAAAATTTGTAGTTCTAATATAGATTATTATTTAAAATATTTATAAACTATAAAAAAAGTTTTTTAAAATAATTTTTTATTATTATTATTTAGAATATTAATAATTTTACTGTGATCTTTTTTTAACTAGATAAAAGATATATTATTTAAATTAGAATAAAAAGCTTTATTTATAAAAGACTTTTTTATTCTTTTTATACTCTGTTTATTAAATACTCAGACTTGTTATTTTCTTATATAGATTAAAAAAAATTCATCTTAAGAAAATAAAAAATATCTATAATAGTCTTTTATTTAATATCTAAATAATTATTTGTTTAAATATAACTAATAATATTTCTTTTTATAATTTTTATAAAAATAATAGCTTATAAAATTAGTTTCTAAGTTTTCAAATCCCCGATGTTATAAAATACAAAGATATAATTATAATAGATATAAAAAATTTTATTAAAAAATAATAAATATTTTTAAAAATTGTTTAATATTATTAATAATTTGTTTTATTCAAAAATAATAAATATTTTTAAAAATTCTTTTATATTATTAATAATTTGTTCTAATTAAAAATAAATAGCAGTTTCCGAATATTTATTTAAACTCTAAAAGAAATTATTTTCTACTATTAATTCTAAAAAATAAAAGTTCTTTTTAAAAAAAAATAGATATAGAATAATTTTTTAATTTTTTATAATATATATAATCTTAAGATTTAGAAAAAATAAAAAAAACTAACATAAAAAACTTATTTTAGTTTAAAAATTATTATAGTTTATAAAATTTGAAAAATAAAAAAAAAAGTTTAATATTATTTTTTAAAAATAAACTAAAAAAGATATAATAAATAAATCTTAATATTAAAAATAGTTAAAATAATTAATTATCTGATTTTTAGCTATACTGCGGTTAGATATATAATTTCTCTTAATCTAACCATAACCTGGCGGTCAGATATAAAAATTCTAATTAACCTGATGTGACCTGGCCGTTAGCCACTCTACCAACAGCCCACAAGCAAGTCTACAAAAAAGCCTGCAAGAAACAGCCCTACGCGCAAGCCTGCAAGCAAGCCTGCCAAACACCCTACAAACCACTCCGCGAACTATCCTGTAAACCATCCTACAGACCATTCTACCAACGGCCCTGCGAACGGTCCTGCGAGTAGGCCTGTAAGCTATCCTGCAAGAAATCGCAGGATCTTTTGCACATAGGGCGGCTGGCTCGCTTATAAAGCCGACTTGCTTACCAATTAGATTAGCTTTCTATCTACGTGTGATCCGTAGCAATGGCCCTTTAGCCTATCCTTTTTAAACTTCTGAGACGGAATTTTGAATGTGCTCTGAGAGCATGAATAGATAAGCCAGTACCAAATTTGAATATGTATCTTAATCTAACCCATGCAATCTCGGTCCACAATACCATCGCCGCGCGTAAAACACCCAGTTTCCCAACGCCACAATCGCCATACACCCCAGCACAGCAGCCGTATAATCTGATCATCAGCATCAGCAACTGAATTCACTACAGCCACTGCTCTTAGTGAAAAAAATAACTCACTCATATTACTTCCAGTGACCGGTCTCGCCGTTGGAAAACTATAAAAGACCAAGGCTAAAAGCGCAAAGCCGACAGTCACAAAATTTGCAGTCCAACCCACCGGGCCGGGGAGTCGAAAGGGCCGGTTTGCAGGGAGCCAGGTGCTCCCGCGGCGACGCAAGAGGAGTAAGGCGGCGGGAATGGCGTAGGAGACGTGCTGCAGGACCAGACCTGTGGCAATGAAGGCGTTGAACGCGGATGATGACCCTAAATATATACAGCCGATGATGAACATAACAGAGAAATTGAAAACAAGGGCCCAGGCGGGGACATCGAGGCTCGGGTGCATCTTTTTTATTTGGCTGCTGCCGTAGAGCGTGTTGTCCCGCGCCAGGGACCAGGTTAACCGGGCGGCGGTCTCCTGGGCGCCGATTAGGGCGAAAACGGCTGCTAGGCTGAGGAGGATTATGAAAGTGGTTGCTGCTGCTTTTGAGTGAGTGGCTTGATACCAGACTTCGTATATAGGGACCCTGCACTCGGTTAGCGTTGGATACCGGTGAGGTTGGGGGGGTAACTGACCCTGTGGCTGAGGCGACGACTGCTTTAAGGTCATCGGTGCAGCATAGCATAGTTACAAGGAATGCAAAGGATGTACCGAAGCCAATCACAAGCGTGCTCAATAGTGCGCGAGGGACGACCCGAGCTGCATCTTTGCATTCCTCGGCTAAGTGTAGGGCTCCATCGATGCCTGCGTACATGTAATTCGGGGAGACGAGACCGGTGAGGAATGCTACCCCGCCAGATGTCCATCCACTGTCGTTCAGAAACTTGGCCCAGACATGGACGTTGGGCTGGAAGTTGGGAGCCGTCCGAGCCAGACAGACAATCACAATAACAAAGAACGAGGCCAGGGTTATAAAAACTAAGGAATTAGATACTGCTGAGGTACGGGCTCTCGGGTGCTTACAGCATGCATCATGGATCCAGAGGGACTTTTTCAGAAGCGCAGTACAATAAAAGAGTACTAGCACATTAATGACTTGGTAGAGGATGAAGTAATGCCATGGCTGGGCATCAAATTCGGGGTTGTAGAAGAGAACAATGCCCAGGATGAGTTGGGACGGGATGATGGCAATACCCGTGCAAATAGCAATCCAGGCGAACATATTGGCTATTCCACAGGCGTAGCTCTGGAAGATAGGTCAGTAACCGTAATAAGGTAGCCTCAAGCAGGAACAATATGTCACAACAGCAATACGTACCAGTCCTCGGCTAATGCACCCCGGGGCCAGGATCGAGGTCCAGTGATATTGCCCCCCTGCCGTGGGGTACACGCTCGACAACTCGGCCAGGGTGAGAGTGCAGGCGCCAACAAGTAAGAACATCAAGATTAGTCCATAGACCATGGTAACGGGGCCACCTTGGGCGATGGCCAGAGCCACAGTGGCTGATACCCCTGCCCAACTGTCACAGATGATCCAACTTGCGGAGATGATCTGAAGAGGGGTCATCTTGCGGGTTCCGGCTGGACCAATGACCAACCCTTCCACGCAGCCCTGTTCCACCATCCCACCGATTCGTACTGACTCTAGATCAGAAGATAGTTATGAGATGAGGGACAAGGTCGATAAAGGCAGCAAGCTATCAACTTACGTCGCTCAACATCCAGGCTTGCTTCTGGTCCATAGACATAGATAATCAGCATCTCTACAATTTCGCCGGATGCCTCCTTGCATACCTTGCTTGGTCGTCTTTGATGGTTCCATCTTCGAAATATCGAGGCGTAACGTAGATAATACTGTCTCTCGGATTGAATACGTTGGTTGATCCAATACTGCCCAACAAGGATGAACATTGCCTTCCTTTAAAGGTTCGTCTTCTATCAAACTCGTCGACATTTCGCAGGATGTACTCGATAGGAAGGGAACTTCACACAAGGTTGTCGTAACTGTTAAGATCGATAATGCGGGGACTGAGATGGGAATTACCGAAATCGGTCAATAACCTGAGATTTCGGCCTTGTGGCGTGGCGAATAAACTGATGCAGATAAGCCGGCTTGGTGGACACACTATCTACACTTTCTCCGCTATCTGTGACTTCATGGGACAGATTAGGCGACCTATTACATGAAAGATACTAAATTCGAGATTTGGTGATATCCATGTCCGTCGGTTTATTCGTTATCTGTATCTGGTTGTTCTTCGTCACCGAGGACACGAGACTTGGGGATATACTACTGCCTAAAAACAAACGAGATGCGATCTTCATACTGGTGCTGGTGTCTTCATTTGGTTGCATGTTTCGGTCTTTGATTTTTTCATGGCGGCGAACCTGAACTTTGAGCCTTCTTCCCAAGATTGTGATGATTCTTCTGATGATATCTTCAGCTGTGCCGGCAGCGGTGGAGCGATGAGTTCGAAATCATTGGAACATTCCGGTAATGGTTAACATACACTGTGCTATTCCAGAAGCTAAGTGTTGCTACGGACATTTAATAGTCACAAATGAGCCCGCGAAGTCGACCTTGATCGCAGCTCCTCCGTAACAGTCTTTGCTGCCCGTGTACCCTCCTCAATCGCACCATCAATGAAACTCCGCCAGCCCACAGCCCAGTCCGAGTTGGCAAACAGCACATTCCCGTGTCGGGATCGCAGCTCATCCAAAGCTACTGAGAGAAGCTTTGGGGGTGAGAAGAACCACGCTCCCTTAGCAAACTCGTCTTTCGACCAGTTGTGGAAAACCTAGGATTCCTTGAATCAGCATAAAGTAAAAGATTCAAGGAGGACACTCACCAGGCGCTGGATATCCATGTTACCAGGAGCCAATTCCTGAACGGCTTGCTTGGTTTTATTCAGGTCCTCTTCCGGCTGGATGTGGTTCGCAGCGCCTCCGAAGCAGACAATGTGAGTGTTCCCCGCGGGTGTTGTCCCGTCGCCGATGGCATAGGTGAGTTTATTGAAGGGGTATGAAATTCCCGTCCACGATCTCATCTCGCGACTGGAGACCTCAGCATGGACCTTAACACACTGGTTGACATGACCCGTATTGATTGCTGCTGTGCGCTGGGGTCCCAAGGAAGGGGAGAATGCGATGGTGCTGAGCACATTGAGAGGGATTGTCGAGATCAGGCGGGCGGCTGTATAGCTTCGACCATCGCGGGTTGTGACACTGACTTTCTCACTTTGATTCTCAATTGATTGCACAGGACTGTTGAAGGTGTAAAGAAGATTGCCTGTCGAGACTGCCTCCTTGAAGAAGTTGATGGCAAAGCTTGACTGACCCCGCTTAAACTTGTAGGAAATGAGGTAGTCCAGGCAGCCCTGGTAGGTATAGCCACACAAAGCCCACCAGTGGAGAAATTCGAAAAGGCTGGTGGTTTCCAGGGTACCACAGCTACACAGAAGAATGAAGCTCTCGACCACGGCTCGCTCGTCTGGGGTCAGCGAGGCTGCAATGTCGGTGAGACGATCCTGGGCAGACATCTGGTCGAATTGGCGGACTGCGGGGACATGGAAGGCGTTGTGGGGAAACGGCATGATTTTCCTGCCCAGCTCACCATCCACGTTCACGAATTTGTGCAATGCGGAAGCAAGAAGCTCATCCTACACCGTTATTGGTTAGCTGTGGCATTCTTGGAATGCGGGGTACGCTCGAATTCAATGAAACCCCCACTGACCTCTTCTTGGTGGCTGAAGGTCTTCGACCCATGGTTGGTGCGTAATTGGAAATGGTTGACTCCGTGGGAGAAGTCGAACGAGGGCTCCAGTTCATCCCGCATTTGATAGCGTGAGATCTCACGCCACACATGCGACTGACCCCAGTGAACCCAAGTCCCTCCCATCTCGAAAGGATATCCTCCAATGTTCGAGGACCAGGACCGTCCCCCAATACGATCGCGGGCCTCGATGAGCAAGACTTTGAGCCCTGCCAGACAGGCATCTCGCACAGCCGTGAGGCCTGCATAGCCTGCACCGATGACAATCACATCGCAGCGGTCTAGGGTGGAGGTCATGTTGGTAGGGGGTGAGATGACCCCAATGGAAGGGACGCCTTGCACCAGCCCGGTCTCTGCCGTCCATTGGTATCCGTCACGGGAAGTCATTCCGGAGATGTTGTGGGGAGGATGTGTGCGCAGTTCAAGAATTGGTGATCATGCTTCAGAGCCGGCGAAGGAGGATTGTGTTTCATGTATTTATATTTCACTACGATAACCCCTTCCACTGTGTACACTCCGAAGTGTCACTCGAAGAATGTCTGTCGATGCTTCATGTCTGTATGATAAGCCGGACCGCATAAGATGGCCCGATATTGTTCTTGCGGTGGGGATGATATGTTTTCTTTATCCACACTGAGTACGAATTTACTCAAATAGGCACCTAAGAGGAGAATCGAATCTGACGTACAGCCATGCGACACCTCCCCAGATTTATTGTGTTTGGCGGTTCAAACTATCGCCAATCACAATTGTCAATTTGCGACGTGTCTATGTGGGGCAGTCAGAATTACCCAAATAGGGCATTAAAGTGAGAGGCCCTTATCCGGGTGTTTATCGCCAAGCTGATAGACCGCAATTGATAAGACGCCCTGACACAATACATTCGCCATCCGACCTTTTGTCACACACAATCATTTCTAGTACTCCCTATTCTTGAATTTATTCTTTCTCAGTAGAGACAATCTCCAAATTGAATCCCACCAGTAATTCTTACTCAATTGCCATCGGGCGCCGCATTAGCTGTAGTCCCTTCCGTGCCATTCCGACGGTTGCCGAGAATTTCTTTGTGGATTGCACTTGCGATTAGCTTACCCGGTATGAGCTGTACAACTGCCAGGAAATTGGAATTAGCCTCGTTCGTTCCTTACCTTCATACGTCAGCAACTCAAATCGATCAAGGAGATTCCTCTTTGAACCTCATATTGAAGTATTTTCTGAAATACGATGTTATGTACAATGGCAAGGATATATCTCTAATACAAAAACTACAGAGAGTCCATGTTCGCTTCTCACCAATCAATGATTGCAAGTTTGGGAATTAGACCCATCAGCAGATCTATGTATGTAGGTAATGACCAGGGTAGTGTTCAGAGCAAGCGACAAGTTCAATTTTGAATTGTGAGGGATCGACGATGGAATTGAATTAGGGCCGAAGTTCCCCGCAGCGCTAGGCGGGCCCCCGCCCTCTTTCGTTTGCCCTGTGCTTTGCAATTTCACTCTTACATCCGTCGCGTGCCCCAACCCCGCAAATCTCGTCATCATCATCCTGAATCGTATCCTGTTCTTTGGTTATAAGGTTATCTGTCTATCATCTTTGTCCCTACTATCTCACTCACAGCTCAAGACTGACTTGTCCCTACAATGAGGTCCCTCATGGCCCCTTTTCAAACGGGCAACCTCAAGCGCATTCGCCAAGCGTGCGCAAATTGTCGGTAGGTCACCTAGCAGGCAATCTGAGCTGGGCTGGAGTTTCACTGAGCGTTTGAGCTTTTGTGCAGGCGTAGGAAAACAAAATGCTCCGGGGAGCGTCCGATCTGTTTCCACTGTCGCCGGAATAAGCACTCCTGCATTTACGAGCCTTACTCCGTGACCATTGGCGATAATCCTCCCAGTAGTCCTCCAGCACAAACCAGTGAAAATGTATGATTGCAGCCTTTTGATTGGTTACGATCTATCTAATGATCCCGTGGACCCAACTACTGCAGCGTATCTCGTTGATTGAGTCGCGCTTGGCGGAATTAAGCGGACAAGCCGCACAACAACCCCGGTTTGTGTTAACTATGAGCTTCGGTTAGATATTGAGCTATGCTGATCGATCTCAGAAGCCCATCTATAGATGCTGAGCCTCTCAGGCAGCAGATCTTGTCGACACAGCCTCCTGTCTCGGGCATTCCCTTTGTTACACCCTCGCAACCCGTCCTGGACTCCATCATGGACACATATTTTCTCCATGTGCACAACCAGCCATACAGCAACTTCCAGGAGATCAGCTTCCGACAAGAGCTACGGAATGGGACCTTGCCACGATGTTTAATACTAGCTATGCTGGCCTCCGCCGTCCGCTTCTCTACTCACGAGCTCTACGCAGAAAGAGCGCTAGAGACATCAGAGGTTTATGCTCGGGAAGCTTGGCTGTCCGTGTTGACAGATTACTTGACAGTAGAAGATGATATAGGAGTGCATGTCGTGCAGACAGTAAACATGCTGGCAGTAATTGATTATACAGGTAGGTTGGTATGGAGACAGTGTGAGGCTTAGTCGCTCTGAGCTAACGAAAAATCTAGCTGGGCGCGTTAATTCAGGGTGGTTGAAGATCGGTCTAGCAGCGCGCATCTCACAAGGGCTCGGCTTAATGGGCGAGCCTGATGCTTGGATACCTGCTGCGGAGCAGGAGGAACGCCGACGAGCGTTCTGGTCAGTCTACCTACTCGACAAACTCATTTCATGTGGAAGATCGCGCCCCCTCGTCATTCTCGACCAAGACTGCCAGGTCCAGCTTCCGTGCGACGAAGTGACCCTTCGACTAGGTGAGATCAAGAAGACATACACCCTGAATCAGCTTCTCAACTGGAACACTGAGATCGCTGAAAGCCCCAGCCCCTTTGCTCTGGTTATTCTTCTGGCGTCCATCTTCGGGCGCTGCACGCGATACGTTTATGCCAATCGGCACACGGACGAGATTCCGCCGTGGGACACCGAGTCAGAGTACACTGCGATCAATTCATCTTTGCTGTTGTTCGAGTCCTATGCGAAATCGGGAGATGCATCAGTGGTTGATATGGCACGGCAGAGTGCTAAAGCGACGGGGACACCAAATCATCAAGAACTAGGACACCAGACTTTCGCGCATACCCTATTCCATCTGTGCCACTGTTTGCTGAATCACCCCTTTGTTCTTGATCTTCGACTTCAGCCCTTTGGCTCCAAGGCTCCTCATAGCTTTGTCACCCGCGCCCTGCAGAATGGAATAGATCATGCTACACAGCTTGTGCGTCTCCTCCGGGATGTATCCGAGGCAGGCGGACTCGTCGAGTCTTCATTCTATGCGTACTCCGTGGCGATCGCGGGGGGGCATTCTCTCGATCGTGTCACAAGATGAGCATCAGAAGCTTCCTTGTCGGTCTTCGGAGATGCTGGAGTGCTTTCAGCATGCTCTTGATATACTTGATCGATTAGCCCAAGTCTGGACCCATGCCGCTAACATGGTACGTTGACTTCAATGTCGGCGAGAAAACCATCACTAACAAATTCCCCGGGACTAGGCCATCCGCCTGCGTGATTTTCACGCCCAGCGCCGCGGGACAAGTAGCGTGCTCGACGAAAGCACCCCACCGAGCGATCTGGATCCTAGATCCGACGAGGCCTTGTGGGCCATGCTCGACTATTCCATTCTCGGCAGCAATCTGCCCAAGACATCTAGTAAATCCGGCTCGGATTACCGCGGTAATCTCTCGCCCACACCCTGGGCTCTGGGGTCGAACATGCCGATCTCGACATCATCTTCGAGGATCGACCTGGGCGACGACGATTTGTTTCGGGGTCTTTCTCCGGCTCTGCGGCTTAATGAAGTTGAATGTCTCTTGAATTGTAGTACGCCGAGGACGGGGTGCATTTGAGCAGGATTCTTCGGTGTATCGGATCGCTCCGATTCCGGCCGGACCGGGTTGCTTTTCCCGGGTCGCTGAGATCCTTAGCAGCCATGCCTGGTGAACATAAGGGATCCATACACCAGATTCCTGGGGGATTCTTTTTGGGCGTACTATACTTATCAGAATGACAACCACGATCCAGCTATTACCATGGAAGGCCGTAGCCTTGGGAACCACGGCCGCCATTTTAGCGAATGTGATTGTGTATCCGCTTGACAAGTGGGTCTCAAATCCCGCTCTTTCAATCCCCGACTTCATCCAGCTTCAGCTATCCCACAGAATATTATTTATATCCCCAGCATCCAAACAAAACTATGAGTCCAAGTTCAACGCTATCAGAGCATCATTGGAGCGAGCAGAAAGGGAACCCAGGCAGTTTTTCCGTCCCCATCCAAGCTATGACTCTCTTCTCTCACCCTTACCCCACATTGTTCAGGGAGAGGCTTTCAGTCTGAGGTTGAGGACGGAAGGTAGGGCTGATACGACCACTGTATCGAGGGAACGTGGACTGTAAAACCTACATACTTCTACATAGATGTTGTCTTCAATTGTACTCTTTCCAGCACACAGCGACAAAGTTAATGATCATATCCTATTGTAACCATGCATATCATCCATTTTTCTTAACATTACAACCAAGCCCTCAAAAGAGACCCTCGCAGACCCCGCTTCCTAACCGACATCAAGACAAACTAGAAGTAGGCGAGGTTCATGGAGGGGGTCTTGAGGATGCAGCTGCTCAGGCTGGTAGAGGCCGGAGAGGCCCCGGCTAATCACGGGGTTCCGTAGGCGGGGTACGTTAATGGTAGCGGGGCAAGTACCTAGTACGGTACGGCTAGCCCGGAAAGCAGCACGGGAACGGACCGAGCAGCGGACCGATAAAGACAGACTGGTCGCCCACTAAGTTACCCACTGGGCTTATCGGACCGAAACGGCAACCAATTTTGAGTGAGTCTCCACTCGTTTTACCCAAGAATGACATCTGAGTAGGCCCGGGGCACTGTACAATCTGAAAATTGCAGGCATACTACTGCGTAATACACACTGTCATTCCTTATGCTGTTCTACAAGCCCAAGATGACTCTCACAAACCACACAAAGTACACCCGTTTCCGGCCCGTACCCGACTACCACTGCTGTGAGAACCGTACACATATAATCAGCGTATACAGCGCCCTAGTCAACCCTATTCACTGATCCAGGTATATCCCAATTGATCTCATTCCAGCATTTACAACGTAAACCCATCAAAAATGATCCCCCAGCCTGATTACAAGCACATAATGTTCCCCCCAGGCACCCCCTTCGCCGACCCCCTCTGGCTCACCCGCCCCATCACCAACAGTCCCTATTACACCCCTTCGCACCACCATCTGCAGCGCGAAGTCAGGAACTACGTAGACACGCACATCGCCCCATTTTGCGAAGAATGGGAAGCTCGGGGTTTTGTTCCGCCCGAGGTGCGCCCCTCTCTTTCCCTATCCGAGCTTCAAGCCACATATAATGCTAATCCATAAAGCAGGTCCAACAATACCACGCAAAACAAGGCTACACCGCCGCCGGGCTCTATCCGCTCGCAGCCGCCCACATCCAGCAGTCCAACCAACGCCTGCCCGGCGACATCCATCCCGCCCAATGGGATGCCTTCCACGACCTGATCGTGATCGACGAGCTCGCACGTTGCGGATACCTAGGCGTAGTGTGGGCGCTCGGGTGCGGAAACGCCATCGGGGGGCCGCCGGTCGTGCAATTCGGAAATGCCGACCAGAACGAACGATTCCTGGGGCCGTTAGTGCGCGGGGAGGTTCGCTTTTGCTTGGGAGTTACGGAGCCGGATGGTATTTCGCTCTCCCTTTTCTTTGGTAAATTTCGGGGGTGGGATACTGACTTTCGCGGATGGCTAGCGGGCTCCGATGTCGCCGGAATCACGACAACGGCAGACCGGCGGGGGGATATATACGTGGTGAATGGGGCGAAGAAGTGGATCACGAATGGAATTTTCGCGGACTATTGTACGGCAGCGGTGCGAACAGGGGGCGCCGGGATTGCGGGCATCTCGGCGTTGATCATGCCGTTGAAGGGGACGCCGGGAGTGACGTGTCGGAAGATCCGGAACTCCGGGGTGGAGGCCAGCGGTATTGTCTCTCGTCTCTCACGTAGATGGGGAGTGGGACTGACTGTCACAGGTTCGACGTATATCGAGTTCGACCAGGTCGAGGTGCCGGTGGCGAATCTACTCGGGGAGGAAAATAAGGGGTTCCCGATCATCATGAACAGTGAGTATGCCCTTGGCATGCGGATAAGCCAGTGCTGATGGGACCATGATAGACTTCAATCATGAACGGTTGTGGCTGGCTTGTACTTCGCTCCGCATGGCACGGGTCTGTGCAGAGGACGCGTACAAGCATGCAATCACGCGGGAGACCTTCGGAAAGAAGCTCATTGAGAATCAGGTAATTCGCACCAAGTTCAGTGCAATGGGCCGGAGTCTGGACTCGGCCTATGCATGGATGGAGCAATTGGTCTGGATGGCGGATAGGGCGCGCAAGGAAGGAAGGGATTTGGGCATGGGAGGATTGTTTGCCAATCTGAAGGTGTTAGCAGGCACAACCCTGGAGATGGTCAATAGAGAGGCACAGCAGGTTATGGGGGGTCTGGGGTACTCGAAGAATGGTCGGGGAGCGCGTATTGAGCAGATCAGTCGGGATGTTCGAGTCATGGTGGTCGGAGGTGGCAGTCAGGAGATTCTTTCCGATCTGGCGATTAACCAGGAGATCAAGGCCATCGCCAGGATGGGGCAGAGCAAGTTGTAGATTAAATCGCTCTTCAATGAATGTACCATGTACTGCTTGCTGGTTGACAAGCCTGGCTCTATCTTAGATATCGGTTCTCGCAATTCTGCAACTCCACTGAGTGGGCTATTATACAGTAACCTTTGAGGCAATACAAACCACTCCAATCACTATTCTCTGCTGGTCACTTAACCCTCTCGTTATTGAGCCACTACAAAGGAAAGAACCGTTACTAGACCACAGTACTTTCAGTGCAAAGAAAGAGTATGTATCATATCTCAACCTCAGACCAGCTATAGACGTACAGATAACTAGACAACCGAACAAAGCACCCTTCCCTCCTCTACCGCATCTCCCTTCCGCCACTCTGTCTGAAACGACCCTTCCACCGCCACGGAGATACTCAACTCCATTTTCATACTCTCAATCACCATGACCACCTGCCCTGCCTTCACCAAGTCCCCATTCTTCGTCTCGATGGACAAAATCTTACACGGCATGGGCGCAGTGACCGTGCGTTTCCCCGCCTCTTCGGTTGTTGCATCCCGCCTTCGACTCTCCGCGAACAAGAGCGGACTGTCCCGCTGGAATTCCATGTATGTCCCAAGAGATGGAAAGTGGCAGTAGACCCTTTGAGGACGGTCGGCCATTCCTGTGGCTATGCCAAGGGAAGGAATGGCGACGTGGGCACCGATTCTGCGCCCGTCGACTGATACTTTGATGGTGAAGGTGCTGGGAAGACTGGATGGATTCGAAAAGGCCTCTGTGGGTTGCAATGAATCAATACACATGGTTCTTGGGGTAACGGCTTTGATGGAACCGCCGCGGAGAGTGTTGCTGATGGTGTTGTAGTGAGCGGCGGCAGAGCCGGGTTCCGTCTCAGCTGGCACAGGTAAGAGTCGCACATGTTTCAAATTGGGAGACTGTCCTGCTGCCGGTGGATCCCAGACACAAATGCTTGATGTCCCAGCCTGCGGACCGGTGATGGTCGTGACAATGTCACAGTGGATGTTGACAGGATCGCAGGGCTGGTTCCGGAATTGCCTGCGGATGTGCTGGAATGGCCGGCCACAAGTATTTCCTGTTTCTGCCAAATTCCGGATCACCAGGCTGGGAATCAGGGGCAGACTCTCCTGCAGCGGCACCTCCGGAAACTGCAACAGCTGCTCCAAATGTGACGAAATGAATGCAGTCGTATACGTCGGTTTCCGGAACTCGGGACTCAGAAGACAGCGCTGCAGGAAGAGCTGGTTCGTCTTGACCCCAACACAAGCCGTCTGGGCCAGTACACCACTCATTTTCTCAATCGCCAGCGCACGCGTTGGCGCCCAGATAACAATTTTCGCAATCATCGAGTCGAAGTTAATCGACACCTCGGCCCCTGTCTGGATAGCCGTCTAATATCGCACATCCCGGCCCGGTCCCAGAATCCCGTCTGCCGGCCGCCACAGCTGAATCCTCCCATGCTCTGGGAAGAAATTATTCTTCGGGTCTTCCGCACAAAGGCGACACTCAATCGCATGGCCTTGCGCCGGGGCTTTCAAGCCTCCCCCCTCCAACCCCGGCAAATCCTTCAGCTGGCCGCCCGCTGCGACATAAACCTGCAACGCCACTAAATCCCACCCCATCACCTCCTCCGTGATCGGATGCTCCACCTGCAATCTGGCATTCACCTCCAGAAAGTAAAACCGGCGCGTCTGCACATCCACCACAAACTCCACCGTGCCCGCTCCGGCATATTGAATCAACTCTCCGATCCTGACCGCAGTGTCACACATCTCTCGCCGCATGCCATCCGTCAGAACTCCACACGGCGTCTCCTCCACGACCTTCTGATGCCGCCTCTGCACGGAGCAATCCCGCTCTCCAAATGCAATGATCGTCCCGTGCTCGTCCCCGACAATCTGGATTTCAATATGCTTGGCGGCTGCGATAAACTTCTCCAAAATACAGTCGTTTTGCCCGAAGGCCCGCTCCGCTTCGGATTGCGCTCTCTCTAGCTCCCCTTCCAATCGTGAAGGCTCATGGACAATCCGCATTCCCTTTCCCCCGCCGCCGGCGGAGGCTTTCAGAATCACCGGGAACCCGATCTCCGTCGCGGCGGTGATCAGGTCAGCCGGAGTCTGGCTGGTGCCGACGAAGCCGGGTATCAAGGGAACGGCGGGCGCGTGTGTGCGCAGGTAAGTCTTGGCTGCACGTTTGTCGCCAAGCGAGGTGAGTGCGGTAGTGCTTGGCCCGAGAAAGATCAGGCCGGCGGCGCGCACAGCGGTTGCGAAGGATGCGTTCTCACTGAGGAAGCCATATCCTGGGTGGATGGCGTGAGACTGGGTCGAGAGGGCAGTGCGAATGAGGAGGGGGATGTTGAGGAAGGGGTTGCCTGGATCGTTTGCTTCTTGCTCGGGGTAGTCGTCGGTAGTGCGGCTCAGGGAGCCCAGACAGATGGCGATGTCTGCTTCGCGAATGTGGCGGGATGAGGAGTCCCTGTTTGAGATGGTCAGGTTATGCGGGGGAGGCTGGAGTGGGCGGGCTTACTCTGTAACGTAGACGGGGACGGTGCTGATGTTGAGTTTGCGGCAGGTTTGGATGATGCGTACGGCGATTTCTCCACGATTGGCGATTAAAATGCGTTGGATGATCGGGCGGCCGGTGGTCGTGTCGAGGGGAGGCGAAGCCACGTAGAGTGGGGGCCGCGAGGGGGAGGCATTTTGCGAGATTGGGCTTTGGGATACGGTCATTCTGTTGCAGACCGCTGTTGGAGAGTCCTAGATTGCTATCGTGAGTCGAAGGGGAGGCAGGGAAAAAAGGTGGTTACAATGCAGATAAGGGAATGAGGCACCGTTCCGTGTTCCGCTCGGTGAGGTTATCCGATGGATGGAATGGTTAGGGTTGTCTGGCTTGGCTTTCCCCGCATCGGACCGCTGTCCGCTTCCGCCGGCGTGGATCCGTCGGTCCGTGGGTGGAGTCGAGTGCTGCAGCGCTGTCTGGTCGTAGCTGCTCGAGTCCTTGCCATTGACAACACTGCCTCGTTCATCCAAGTTTGTCATTAGGGCACACCATTCTACCATTTAACAAATAACACTTTCTATTACTGTCAGTCAGTAGGACCACTCCAGGCAAGTTCTATTTTAATAGTCTGAATGCTGGGATCAGCAGGAAGGAGCAAATGCCGTGGAACAGCAACGATTCTGATTATTCCCCCCCACTCCTCCTTCTTTTTGGTGCAGTGTACCTAATCCCAATATTACATGGAGGATGAACGCCTATGCTTGAGGAAACTGTTCTTAATAACACAATATAGATGATTGCATAGCATATAAATTAGGAGGTGCTCCCTGACCCTGAGTCAAGAATCACGGCGAAAGAAAGCACGATGAGACACTCCCCACCCCCGTAGAACTAAATCCTTGCCAACAACCGATGGCCCTCGGCGCCTCTTATCCCAACGCTGACCACAACCTCCAGACACATTCCCACCACATCCCTGGTATCACGGGGATCAATTATTCCGTCGTCCACTAGTCCCCCACTCGTCGCATAACACTCCGCATCGGTTTGCACAGCCGCCCGAAACCGCTCCACCCGCGCCCGAAGCTCCTCCGGCGACAGCACCTTCCCCTTGGCTGCTGCGCTGCTCCGCTGCACGCTCTCCATCACGCCGGACAGCTGCTCAGGGCCCATCACACTGCACCGGCCGCTGGGCCAGGTGAACAGGAACCGGGGCCCGTAGGCCCGGCCGCACATGGCGTAGTTTCCGGCGCCGTAGGAGGCGCCTAAGATGACGGAGATGTGCGGGACGGTCGAGGTGGAGACGGCGGCCACAAGCTGCGCGCCGGCGCGGATGATGCCGGCGTGTTCGGCTTTTGCGCCGACCATGAAGCCAGTGACGTTGTGGAGGAAGAGCAGGGGGGTGTTTCTTATCAGTACGAAGCTGTTAGCGAAGGGATAGGAAAGAAATGGGAGGTGGGGTGGGGTAGGGGAGCTTACTGTTGATTACACATGCGGATGAATTGCGCGCCCTTGGCGGCTTCAGTTGGGTTTATCACTGACATTTGGTTGGCGATGATACCGACTTGGATTCCTGGGTTAATCGTCGGGTTAGTGATACAATTCGCCGGGGAACGCTGGGAAGAACATGAACGAGGAATGGACTTACCGTAGAAGTGCGCCCACCCCGTGATCAGATTGCGTCCGTATTCCGGCTTGAATTCCGAAAATCGCGAGTCGTCGATCAACCGCAGCAGAACCTCGCGCATGTCAAAGGGCTTTCGGATATCGGGGTTAACCAGACTCAGAAGCTCGTCGACGGGGTATCTTGGGGGTAAGGGCTCGATGGTGTCGACGAGTGTCGTGGTTGATGGGCTGTGCAGGGTAGCTACCCACTCTCGGGCCTTGCGGATTGCGTCCAGCCTACATCTGGTGGATCAACTGGTGTTACTGTATATACGGGGAGCGTCGCACATACTCATCTGTCGCGATCTGATCCGCAAGTCCAGTCTTCGTGGCATGTACTCTCGCCCCGCCCAGCTCCTCCGCTTCGATCACCTCCCCGGTCGCCATCTTCACCAGCGGCGGTCCCGCCAGAAACGCCTGCCCCTGGTTTTCGACGAAGATCGTGTAATCGGAGAGCGCGGGGTGATAGGCTCCTCCAGCAGTCGAGGAGCCAAAGACGAGGGCGCAGGAGGGCTTGCCATGTTGTGTCCGCACGGCGAGATCCCGGAATAGTTGGCCTCCTTTGTGGAAGACTCGGAATTGTTGCGGGAGGAAGACACCGGCCTAGGATAAGCAATCAGCAATTCACATTGTTGCGAGAAGGTATACTGGGGCCTGTACTGATTGTACCAGTGAGATCAGTGGCAAATCATTCTGAAAGGCGATCTCCATGATCCGGTTCGTTTTGAGGACTTGGATGGATGGTTAGTACGGTTTCTCCAGGTTCAGTGCCTTGACAAACCTGTCATCTCGTTCCAGGCCCCGCCGCTCTGAGTCGGGATATGTGACATGAGCATACATGGTCGGCCACTATGAGATGAGTATCAGTGGTGCCATAGATGGCTAATGAGGAGGCGTACCTAACATTCCCGATCCCCGCGATCAGATTGGCGCATGGCGTCGAATCGGGGTTCCCATAGCCAGCGAAGGCCCCGATTTCCAGAAAGGGCGAGTCCTGGTCCAACAAGAGGGCAATGCGATCGCGGGCTGCTTAGATGTCAGCTTGATGTCACTGCGAGGATGATCCACACCTACGTAGTAACTGGCCCCGTTTTTGATGTCGTGCCAGAGAGGCACTGTTGCCCTCTGCAAAAACCTGCTCCAAAGCCTCTTCAAACCTGTCTAGGACGGTCTTCCATGTTTCCCGGTTGGCCCGATATTGCGGATTATTGAGGTCGAGATTGGATTGGGGGGGTGGGTAGGAGGATTGAATCGCCATGATGAATGTCAAATTCCAGCTAGAGCTGTGTTCTTAGTATTGCAGTCTAAGTAAACCGAACAAGTACGAGGTTGGGATGGGTGGAAATGAAATAATCGAGATGGCCATGCTGTTGGAGAGAGGGGGGGGATCGATCTGCCCTAAGTTCGGACCGATGCCTTCGGTTGATCCCGCCCGCAGGTCCGCAACCCATCAATGCAAGCAGACTGGGGGGATCACCCACAATCTTTGCACAATGCGATGTATATAATGTTGCGATAGAATGGAGAAAGCTTTCTCAGGCATATTTTTCCTTATTCCAAGTTCTTTGCACTTCAGCTGTTCACGTCACAGCCTTCCCCAACGATGACTCCCGCTCCCGCTATAGTCCTTGGCCCGACCGAGCCTGCGCTCTGGCACAAGACACTGGGCGAGCTCGTCGACCTGCAAGAAGCGCATTACGGTTCCAAAGAGGCGGTGGTTGTGCCGTGGCAGTCAGTCCGGCTCAGCTACCGCCAACTGGCCGAGAGAAGCCGGGTGCTCGCCCAGGCGATGCTCAACATGGGGTTGGGTCCAGGTGACTGCGTAGGCATCACGGCGGGCAACTGTTACCAATACCTCGAAGTCTTTCTTGGTAGTGGTCGCATTGGCTGTCCCGTGGTGGTCTTGAACAATACGTATACCCCAGGAGAATTGACTAGCGCAGTATACCAGAGCTGTACGCCCTTCCCTCCCACAGTCTCGCCCCGTGCAAGCCATGACTGACACCTCCCAGCATGCAAACTCGTCTTCATCAGCGCGAGCATCAGCACAAGAGCCCTTTCAGACCACATCCAGGCTCTTCGAGGCGAAGAATCACCCAACCCGAAGCTCCCCGATCTCCGCCGGATCGTGCTCATCGGAGACGGCATCCACAGCCAAACAGGCATCGACCTTGAACCCTACGACGCCTTCACAAGCAACGCCCACCCCAACCCACCCGAACAAGCCGCCATTTCTCGCACCATCTCCCCGGAAGACATCCTGAATCTCCAATTCACCTCCGGTAATTACACCTCCTCCTATCCCGCAGATGTCGTTCAACTCACAGATATCAAAGGCACGACCGGCTCCCCCAAGGCTGCCATGTTGACGCACACGTAAACCTCCTTCCCAGAACCCCCTCCTGCCTCGGATACCAACTAACCCTATAAAAATAAGAAACCTGCTCAACAACGCCCGCTTCGTCGGCCAGGGCCTAGCCCTCACCCCGCAGGACAAAGTCCTCAACCCACCCCCTCTATTCCACTGCTTTGGCCTAGTCCTCGGCTTTTTGTCCTCCTTCATCCACGGCAGCACCATCATTCTTCCCTCCCCGAGCTTCTCCGCCACTAGCTGCGTGAACACACTTCTCACGGAACACGCCACGGTGATCCTCGGCGTGCCAACCATGTACCTCGCCCTCCTTGACATCCTCGCCCAAAATGGCACCCAACCATTATCCTTACGAACCGCCCTCGCAGCCGGCTCCCCCGTCTCTCCAACGCTCATGGCCCGCCTCCGGACAGAGACGGGGATCCCGAATGTGCTGATCGCGTACGGGATGACGGAGACAAGCCCGGTGACTTTTATGACGCGTTTGAGCGATGATGCGGAGAAAGGGATTACTACGGTTGGGCGGGTGCTGCCGCATACATGGGCAAAGGTGGTGGATCGGGAGGGAGCCGTGGTTGCGCGCGGCGTGAGGGGGGAGCTGTGTACGGCGGGGGTCGCGGTGCAGAGAGGATATTGGCGCAACGTCCAGAAGACAGCGGAGGTGATGCGGAGGGATGAGGCGGGAGTGCTGTGGATGTTTACGGGGGATGAGGTGGTGATGGATGCGGAGGGGTTTGTGGCTGTGACGGGACGGATTAAGGATTTGATTATTCGGGGTATGCTTTTGTTGGCTGGTTGAGAATGCATGCTGACCGCCAGGCACAAATAGGAGGCGAGAATATCTTCCCACGCGAGATCGAGGAGCGGTTGACGGCGCATCCCGCGATCAGTGAGGCCAGTGTGGTCGGGATCCAGGATGAGCGGTACGGGGAAGTGGTGGGGGCGTTTCTGAAGGCCCGGGAGAGAATCAGTCCCAGTAAACTCCGGCACTGGGTCAGTCAGACGCTGGGGCGGCATAAAGCACCCCAACATATCTTCTGGATTGGCGATGCCGGCGTCGGCGCGGATTTCCCCAAGACCGGCAGCGGAAAATATCAAAAACATCTTCTGCGTGAGTTGGGCAATCGCCTGGTGCGAGTGAGGGAGCGGAATCGGGCGAGATTGTAGTTTGATTGACAATTGCATCACTTTCTTTCTCACCCCAGCAGCCTCGGTCCGCCAGTCCGTGAGTAGAAACCACCCAGCGGTCCGGGGACTACCAGTCCACAAGTACTTAAGAACCTAGCCTTGTGGTGTGGATGTGTCTATGAAATATGCACAAGCCACCCCCGACTGAAAGGTACCGCGGGAATATATATTCACTACGCGAAACCAACATGACCCCCTCATCAGTCCGTATTGTGGAAGTCGGTCCTCGCGACGGCCTCCAAAACATCACCACGCCAATCCCAACCCCTATCAAGCTCGAATTGATCCTTCGGCTCCACCAAACCGGTCTCAAAACGATTGAGCTGACTTCCATCGTCTCCCCGCGCCGCATTCCGCAGCTCGCGGACTGCAGGAATCTTCTTGAACACCCGTCCATCCAGTCGTTAGGCGGCGACAGCCCTGACCTCCGGCTCCCGGTGCTGGTCCCTAATCTTAAGGGTCTGAAAGTCTGCCAGGCCCTAAATGTAAAAGAGATCGCGGTTTTTGTCAGCGCGACGGAGGGGTTCAGCCGGGCAAATATCAATTGTTCGGTGGAGGTGGGGCTTGCGAGGGCGCGGGAGGTGGTCGGGCGGGCGGTGCAGGATGGGTTGGCAGTGCGAGGGTATGTTGAATCTTCATCTACCTCCCCTCCATTAGGGTCAACAAGGCTAATAACGGTGTCAGATACGTGTCCTGCATCTTTTGCGATCCCTACGACGGACCCACTCCGCCCGATGCGGTGCTCCGCTGCGTGCAAGCCCTCCTCCAAGCGGGATGTTACGAGGTCAGCCTAGGCGATACCCTAGGCGTGGGGTCCCCTGCCAAAGTCCGCCATCTCCTCCACCATCTCACCAACAGCGGCGGTATTCCCGTCGGTGCCTTGGCCGGCCACTTCCATGATACCTACGGCCAGGCGGTGGCCAACATATGGGAGGCGTACACCTGCGGGGTGCGCGTCTTCGATAGCAGCGTCGCCGGGCTGGGCGGGTGTCCGTTCGCGCCCGGAGCCAAGGGCAACGCCGCCACTGAGGATGTGGTGTATATGTTCCAGGAGACTGGGGTCGAGACAGGGGTTGATCTGGCCCGGTTGGTCGAGACGGGGATCTGGATCGCAAACCAGCTACCCGGCGGTGAAAATGGGAGTCGGGCTGGAGTTGCGCTGGCGCGTAAGACGGCTGCGAAGGCGCCGGCGTGCACTCCGCCGTCCTTGACGGCACAGGCGCAGGGACAGGTGCCCCTGCCGGCTTTCCGGTGGACTTTGGCGATTGACGCCGAGGGGATGCGGCTGTTCCGCTGCGGGGTGAATCTCAAGATTGTGCTGAACCGTCCGCGGAATGGGAATGCGTTGACTGCTGCGATGATTGCAGAGTTGCACTCTGTTATGCACACGGCGAGTTCGGATCCCGCGGTGTCGAGGGTGGTTATCACCGGTACGGGGAGGTTCTTCTGTACGGGGATGGATTTGGGGAAGAATACCCCGGTCGCACAAGGAAAGGAGAGCAGCGAGGCGCAGTTCGCCAAGTTGGCGGAGCTGTTCGAGGTAATTGATCGGTGTCCGAAGGTAACTATCGCTTGTCTGAATGGGCCAGCGTTTGGCGGGGGGGTTGGACTGGCGTTCGCGTGTGATCTTCGTCTCTGCACCAAGCTCGCTACGGTTACGCTGAGCGAGGGCAAACTGGGTCTTTGTCCTGCGACGATCTCCAAGTATATCATCCGAGAGTGGGGGACGGCCTTCGCGCGTGGGGCCATGCTCTCGGCTCGCCCGGTCAATCCCGACCAGCTGCATTCGCTGGGCCTTGTCGCCGAGGTCGCAGAGGATCCCGGAGATCTGGACAAGAAGCTGGACGCCTTGCTAGTGCGCCTGCGGCAGGTCTCGCCCGATGCGTCGCACATGTCGAAGGAGTTGGTCAGGCTCGCCTGGAAGCATGCGGGCAAGGACGAACAGGCGTCCGGGATCAAAGCACTCTTTCATGAGATGATGCGACCCGATGGCGATGGCGCCCATGGAGTACGTGAATTCCAGTCTGGTCGGCCGGTAGATTGGGATGCGCACGCCCAAAAGACGAAGACAGCTCCCGAAGCCAAATTGTGAGCTGCTATCAGCCACCGAAGCCATCTCTTTTTCAAATACCTTGATGACTGGATATGATCTGATGTTTGTTCCGTAATGCTTGTCGGGATGCTGTACAAAATAATCAATCAACCCAATCGAGTTCAAGTGTAGCAGTTCAAAGCGTCACTGGCTCCGGTGACGGGCATCTCCTGAGCCGGAACCGCGTATCTCTGGTCACTATCACTGGCCGGGACAGCCCTCGGGACTACTGTCTTGAGGCGCACAGGCGAGTTGGGCGTGCCAGACAGCTGAAGTACATAGAATTGAGCGCGGTGGGTGGAACTTCTTATCTTGCTGTAACGATGTCAAACTACGCAACAGAAAATGGAGCTGTTGGTACCAAGCCAGTAGTTGTAAGCCCGAATTCAGCAAGTGGCGGGAGGCCTCTATCCAAGGAAGTTGCAATGGCTTCCACTGTTTCTTGAAACCGCAAAGATAGGACGGTGATTTTTCTCAAGGGGTCGGGATGTTGGTTCCTTGAACAGCGGTGCAGGGGTGTTCGGTAATGCTTGGGAAGCAAATCTGATGCGGGTCTTCTGGCCAGAGGTGGGGCCGGCGGAATGGGAGAAAAATCGAGTTATATTTCCTCAGGGTATCGGCGGATGGAGGCCCCGGGGCGAGAATCATAGTACGAGCTGGTGACACTATATCGGTTGTTCGATGGTTAGAGACCCGATTTTTGCTTGAGTCCTTTGTTGATTCAAACAATTACGGACGATTTCGCAGCTGCTATGGCAAGTATACATTAATTACGTGTATCTGATTATCAGACATTTTATTACTGTTGACGTCGGTTCACCTATGACGTGTCGGAGATCCGTGTCTGCTTGCATGGTGTATCCTCCTCTGCATCGTGCGGCCGTTTCTGACCTCTTCGAGACTTACCATCCATGTCTGGGACCGAACTGTCGGGTATCGAACTGGTTCTATCAAGTGGCGAGAATCCAGGCGTCTGGAGCTCAGCCGTAATCCTTTCAGGGAAGGTATTGTAAGGCTGGTATGGGATCTTTTTGCGTCTAACAATGGGCCAATTCATTGGACGATCTGCCTCCTTCGGATTCTTGAGCCCATCTAGAAGCTCCGTTGCAATGTCAGCCTCGTAGAGGACTATCTTTTCTTTATCTGCGACTTCCGTCACGAGGAGACGAGACTGTAGCTAATCAGCCTGAAGCCCAAGATAACGGAGATTCAGAGACCAAGCAAACCGAGAACATACCGTAAAAGTAGCCGGGCTTGACTCATCTCGCCGCTGCTCCTCAAACTGCGCGAGGGCCAAGAGGGGACACATGAAATAGGGGTCCTCCGTCCATTCTTCCGGGGTTATCTGTTGCATGCGCTTCCAGCATAGTGTGCCACCAACCCGGTTACTCTCTGCCCTCGGACCTGGACGAGCTTCAAATAGCTTTCGACATGCTCCATGGATGGAGTTGTACTGCAGATAGCCGACAGGGGTAGGTGTCCGGTTTTCGGCGGGGTCAATGGCTCTCTCGTGGTAAATGAACATGACATAGTTTGCTAGACGACTCACGCGTCGACCTTGAAAGTAGAACGGACTGCCTTTGCTGTCGAGTAGGAGTGTCAGTGAACGCTATCAACAATATTCCGTTCCATCAGAGCTCTTTTACCTGAGTCCGGCGAAAAGGCGCGTGTCGATGACCAAGATATTGAAAAGGGAGCAGCGCTTGGTAATACCATCCAACGTCATCGCGATCTTCTCAGCATCGGTTCTCGCGTCAGAAGTCCGGTGCAAATTCTGGTTGGGACTGTGGTTTGGCGGACTGCTGGAAGGGGTGATGACGACATCTTCAAAGCGACAGCTGACTAGGTCAAGATGGCGTGGAGTCCACTATAAAGGATTGACCAAGTAAGAAGTGTAGTATCGGACAAAATCGGAAAGTGAGCTTGGCCTAGGGGGCGGCCGACATCAGAACGGTGGCATTGACGACAGGCAAGTGCGGGATATGATGATGGGGTGGATGTTTGGAAGTGGACGCGAAGGCCGTGACGGAAGAAATTCTGACGCGCTTGACCGCCTGAGTCCGCCACAGCACTTGCCACAGCTGTTTAGACGCGCGCTAGCCAGCTGAGCCACGTGGGGCATAAATCAGGCATTCTTCCTCGACCCACATCGATTCAATTGCTCGCTATCAATTCCACTAGATCTCACATTCAAGACATTGTTATCATGGCACTTACTCTGTACTTTACCAGTGGTGTATCGGAATCTGCCTTCAATGCTCGTTTCGAAATGAGAATGGAAACAACTTTTCAGGACTAGACGAGGTAGCTGCGAGTTTTTGGGATCGAAAGCATCTGCTTGCATGCCGTGTAGTCCGGAGAGAGCAACAACACAATATACTCCCCGTTCTACTACCTCATACCTTCTTGACTGATGTACAGTCTCCGTCTCGTGAGATCAAGACGTTTCTGCAAGGTCCTGACCTGGTATTCATGACTTGAAGCGAGCACTACTTGGTCCGGAGTACCAAATATAGTCTCTCTGTAGCTCAGATATGGGCAGCGATGGCGACTTTCAAGGGGCCGATAGACCGACGCTTGAGAGAAACACCTCCTCCTATTGATGAGAGAAATGTAGCGGATGATAGCGGGACAGATCCTGAGATACGAGAGCCAAAGCGTCAAAGGCAATTAACATCCCAGCCTTACTTCGTTGACCCAACTAGAATCCAGATTGGCTCTAGTAGTCCGTTGCACTCCGACTCATGCCATGGGTCTCAGCCGTCATCTCTAGGCTACGTCGACCACGATACGCATTCCCTGGCCAGAGCCCCTGAAGACGCTACGCTACGCCTTGCCTCGTGCGTGATTCGGCATATCGTGTACTATGCTGCATCTCAGGACTCAACATCGCAGGCGATAGTTGTCGAGTTTCGGGATGCAAAATCAAGGCTTGCGCCCAAGACACCTACTGGAGGACTTCAGATGATTGCAATTGATGACGGCGGCCTTTGTCTACAAGAGCAGAAGCCAGATGGTGGCTTCATGTTTACAAACAACCATGTCGCTGTCCTGGAAGCCAAACCGCACTTTCAGTGCCTAGAGAACGGTAGACCTGTCATCTCAGACGGGAACCTTGCACAAATGATATGTCAAGCCCTGGCAACCAGATGCTCTTATCTCAATGTTCTCTCACAACAAAGGTAAACCTATAACTCAGATATTGTTAATACTGCCTCAATCCATACATGCATATAGCGGGAGCTAACAATATTTAAAGTGTCATTGTTATCAATGCTACCCAGCACTACCTTTGCTTTCTTCAAGTGGATATAGGGAATGAATATCTCTACAATTTCGAGGGCACTTCACCAAGGCACATGTTTTCTACTCCCTGGTTTGACTTGAGCCAGAGAAGTGGGAGAGAGTCTATACTTGCCAACCTATGTGGGATCATGCGTCGAGCAATTTCGGTGTGAGGGATGAAGATATATATACCAACTCGGCTGATTATACTACTGCGTGCAGATAGGTATTCCATATGAGAATCGAATATACTATTCATTGTTATGGCGATGTGTTGGGAAAATGAGTTCACCAGGTGCCTTCAAGGTTCCTCAACGGCTTTCGGAGATCCGCACCAATTCCGGGCAGCGGGGCGCTTGTCATCTGCTGGGGCACCCTGACTGCGTGTGCCCGGCTAGATGGGTATGTACTGAGAGGTAGAGCTAACGATTGGAAAAGTGATGGTGATCATGATATAACTGTTGTAGAAACTTTTGCATTTACCAAGTACGGTCTATAAGATCACGCCTGCTTTGCACTAGATCATCTGCCTCTAGGGTTACTACTAATAGTTCAAAGATCCTTGGCAGTCGACTCATTCATTGTCTCTAGCTCCGATCGGCGGGAGTAGAATCCGCCCGTTGCGGCGACCGACCGTCCGGACTATCGGCCAACTGTCGATTCCCCGATAGTACCGCGTCTCATCTAATCTACTCGGGAGCCATCTATAAGACCTTCCCCTCCATCTATGTAGGAATTGCCCTGAACTGACCCATTCGCATCTTCCTAGTCACAGTTTCTAACCTTTCATCTTCCTACAATTCTTGAACCCACCTTCCCACCCGCCGCCGACAAAATGAGCGGTACCAGCGTTCTTGATCGCCTGGCAGCGCTAGACAGCAACACAATTTCCGATGCCTTAGACTTTCTCAGCCTCAAAGGGGCCACCTATGGCCTGCGACCTCTCTGGGAGTGTCCGAAGATTGTTGGACGTGCCAGCACCGTCCAAGTCGGGCCCAAGACCGACGTGAAGCCGACCACACATCTGCTCACCCCTGTCATCGACGCCGTCACCACTGATGACCGCGTCCTGGTCATCGCAGGCGGGACGGAAGGCATATCTTGCTGGGGCGACATTGTCGCCAACGCCTCAAAGCAGAAGCGCATTCGCGGAACCATCATCGATGGCATGAGTCGCGATATTGATGGCAGCCGCGAGGTGGGCTACCCCGTGTACGGCCGGGGGGTGACGATGATTAGCGCCCGCAATCGGCTGGTGCAGGTGGCGTCAGGCACGCCCTTACAGGTCCGCGGAGTCACGATTCATCAGGATGATTATGTGATTGCCGACAACTGCGGGACGGTGTTTGTACCAGCTGCGCGCATTGGCGAGGTTGTGGATTTGGCCGAACGCATCGATCGTCGCCAGGCCCGCATGGTGGAGGCTGTCCGTGCCGGTCACCCGGTCTCGGAGGTGATGCACGATTCGCAGTTCGAAGCCATTCGGCAGAGTGACAGCGCTCCAACCCCGCAACAGACTGCAGCACTAGAACTCGTACCATCTCCGCGGAAACCAAAGTCCGCCATTCCAGAAGACAAAGAGCTTGTGGCGTTGTTTGCCGACTCCGATACACCAGCGGTGTCAGATGCATTGGATAAACTGGGCATTCCGGGCCAGGCGTTCGGAATCATGCCTCTTGCGAATTATACCAAAGTCACCGTCGGACCGGCCTTCACCGTGCGGTATGTGCCGGCCAGCGATCCGCCCGGTAGTGTGGGAGACTTTGTGGATGATGTAGCCGAGGGCGATATTGTGGTGATTGACAATGGCGGTCGCACGGATTGCACAGTTTGGGGAGATATCATGACGCAGTACGCCGGCCTGCGAGGCATCGCCGGAACTGTGATCGACGGGGTATGTCGAGATGTGAACCGTGCCATCGGCGATGATTACCCGCTGTTCACGGCTGGTCGGTGGATGCGTACGGGCAAAGACCGCGTGCAGGTCGGAGGCGTGAACGAGTCGGTCGGCATTGGCAAGGTCCGCGTCAACCCGCGCGATATCGTTGTCGCCGATGCGAACGGCGTGGTCATTGTGCCCCGTGCTCGGGCGCGAGAGGTGGCCGAAGTCGCACGGAAAATTGAGCAGAGCGAGGAGGGTATCCGGAAGATGATTGCTGGAGGTGCCACTATCGCTGAGGCACGGAAGAAGTTGGGTTACCATACATTGCAGCGGCATGGGAAGGATGACTGAAGGACCTGATTAAAGGTCGCGCACTTGCTCTTTCCTCGTCCCATCATTTCAGTTGGTATGTAGAGTAGGTATTGTGGGTGTGGTGAATGAACTCTGCTCTCCCTCGATAGCCAATTTCCTAGAAAATACCACCGTCTTCAGCGTAGTCGAGCTATGTAGCAAATCTTGAACCCTCCAAGAAACCCGCGGGATTGAAAAGCCCGGGGGTGAAAACTATACTTTTGTCAACTGAGAGAAAAGTGAACGAGCCACTTGACAATTGTACCAGTGCTTGATAGATACATGTATGTACAGAATCTACTCCGCTAAAAAGGATCACACAAACCGAAAAAAAGCAATACCCAGAAATAATATCGTCTGTCTACAATCCAAAGTAGCGGCGCTCATGTCGCTGCCTATTATGATCTCGCCAGCTGCAACTCACTGGTGTACCAGTTCTGCATGGCTCGAATATCATAACTCAATGCCACCGTATCAAACACCTTTAGATGCTCTTTACATAAAGACCCGTTGTTGGACAATCGACTGACCCATTTACCATGCCTGCGGGCCGCAGCCAGGATTTTTTCAATCGCCTCGACAAATTCCGGCTCATCACCTTTAGCAGGGACATAGCCCAAGACCGATAGGGCCAGGTCATTAGGGCCGATGAAGATCATATCTTGAACACACAATCAACCAAATGTCTAAAAGATGCGTCGGGCCAAGCACTCACCAACACCCGGCACAGCACAGATGGCATCCATATTCTCCACCCCTAACTTGGTCTCGATCTGAACGCAGGTGATGAGCGTCTCATTCGCCGTCTTGATGTAAGTCGGCAGGTCGATGCCGTGGGCAATGGCGGGAAATGCGGATCCCTGCCCTCGCAGCCCCTGCGGCGGGAATTTCGCATGCGCAACAACCGCCCGGGCTTCGTCAGCGGTGTTGATCATGGGCACGACGATGCCACTGTATATTACATTAGCACATCTCACAAGGGTAAGGTGAGCCAGATGCTTACTGCGCCCCTGCATCGAGAGCTCGTTTGATGAGATCCGGGTGGGTCATTCGGAGCCGGACCAGCGGCGAGACGCCCATGGCGGCGATGGCAGCCGTTGAGCTGTGCATGGCATCGTCGCTGATGTTACCGTGTTCACAGTCGATAATGATACCCTGGATTCGTCAATAAAGAGCCTCATGATTATAGGGCTATGGTACTGACATCGACACCGGTCTGAGCTACGATCTGTGCTGTGCGGAAGGACGGAAGCCCTAAGAAGGTCATAACCGGCTTTGCGCCGGCTCGAAGGGCATTGAGCAATCGTAATTGCGGATTGAAGAACGATGTTGCCATTCTTAATGAAGCTGCTGCCAGAAGGACGAACTATCACAGTGCCTGAAATTAAGATGTCGGCGAGAAGATGGAACAATTAGCCCATGCACCTTATACAGCAGAATTAACTATGAGCATTATCTCAGCATGGTCGGGGAAACGCACCGATCCCGACCGGGGGCAATACCGAGGTCGGCAAGACGACTTTCTGCCGCCCCCATCAATCGACCCTGCAGGTGGCGGACCGAAACCTAAATCGCCCTTGCATCTGAGGCCCGACAATAAATACAATAAATGCTTTACATCCGCCGGTTAGGAATCAGCAATCTACATACATCCACTCCTCACAGCCCACCCTCACCCATGCCGCCCACATACGAAACAATCCCCCTCCAAGTCCAAGGCGTGAGTCTCAACATCGCCACCGCCCACAACAACCTGAACATCGGCAAACCCCCAATCCTCTTCCTCCACGGCTTCGGATCATGCAAAGAAGACCTCGCCGACATCGCGATCCGTCCCGCCTTCCAGCAATATGGCTACATCGCCTTTGACGCACCAGGCTGCGGGTACACCACCAGCACGAACCTCGCCGCCACCGACATCCCCTTCCTAGTCGCCACCGCCGAAGCAGTGCTCGCACACTACCAGATCGAGCAATTCCACCTGATGGGCCACTCAATGGGCGGACTGACCGCCCTCCTCCTCGCGCACCGCCATCCCACCCGCGTGCTAAGCTTCGTAGACATCAAAGGCAACCTCGCCCCAGAAGACTGCTTCCTAAGCCGGCAAATCTTCCTCTTCCCGGCCGACGACCCGGAAGCCTTCTTGGATGCATTCATCGCGCGCACCGCGACCGCAAACTCCTACGGAAGCGCCCTGTACGCCAGCACCATTCGCGCGAGGGTGCGCGCCGGCGCGGTGCGTGCGATTTTCGAGTCCATGGTCCAGCTATCCGACTCCGGCAGTCTACTGGAGATGTTCTTGGGCTTGTCGTGTCCGAAGATGTTCATGTTTGGGGAGGAGAACGCCGGGTTGTCGTATCTGCCCCAGCTGGAGAAGGAGGGGGTCGAGCTGGCGCTCATCCCGGAGAGTGGGCATTTCCCCATGTACTCCAACCCGGTGGAAATGTATCGGAGGATGGCTGCTTTCTTAGGGAGGGCTGAGGTATAGGTCAAAACATCGTCGCATAATATAGATCAAAGCATAGTCCCATGATACAGACCAGTATTTCATCACGCTTGATTCATTGTCGTAAATCTGATATTGATAGTATATGTAAATCGCAAGCTGCCTGTAGAAGGCTTCAGCTTCCACAAATAAAATACGCTTGACGGAAGCGGAAAAGACCGTTTATAATAGTAACAAAGGTAATGATTGAATTCCATTCCATGAATCCACCACAAATCACTCCACGCTAAACGATGCCAGATTGTTGAAAAAGGGGTATCTCATGCTAAAATATTAAATACTATATATTCGTGTTGGACTTTGTTGAAAATCCATGGGGGGGTGCCACTTTAGGCTTCGGAGTCGTCCGCGTTCTTGGCCTGGACATCCTCGACGGTGACCTGCACCTCGTGGCTGTGTTCCAGGCCGGACAGGACGATCCAAGTGGGGATGACGCACAGCAAGGTGACGCCGAAGTTCAGGCCAATGCTGGCGAAGTGGTTGACGTTGCCCTCGGTTTGCATACTGTTTCGGTCAGTTTCTGTAGCAATCAAAAGGACAAGGGGGGGGGAACGTACGCCCAGGCAACGGTCTGTCCCAACGCCTCGAATCCGCGCAGGATTCCGCAGTGGTAGGACAGAGAAGAGATATCGGTGCTGTACTGACCGACCAGCCAGTACAGGAATTGCTGGAAGGCCTGGCCGCCAAACTGCCAGAAGAAGACCAGGGCGTAGGACTTGCCGAACCCGCCGGTGAACCAGTCAAAGGTGGGGGCCTCCGGGGCGTTGTAGAACTGGCTCTGCAGGATGCAGGCCCAGATCCAGGTACCCGTGAGGACGGTGATAATAGACAGGAATCCGATCTTGGCACGAGTCTTGATGTGAATGGACTGGCGATCAAGGAGAGCGGCGATCAGGAACGAGGAGGCGATACCGGCGAAGTTGGTGAAGAAGGAGGAGAAGGCGCGGGAGCGGACGGTGAAGTAGTCGGTCAACCACGTGCTGGAGAAGGCGTTGTAGAAGTAACTGATGAAGAAGGCGGGGAGCAACATGAGCACGCGCCGCGTCCAGATCAGGCTCACCGCCGCCTTGAACTCGGCCGCCCACGACTCCTGCTTGTGCACCACCACCAACGTCCGGTCCTTACGCTGCACCTTCTCCGCCGGACTCAGGCACAGGGCGATCGGGAAGCCCAGGCACATGATCACGATGAACACAATGTACGTGCCTGCACTGATGGTACCCTTGGACGAGGTCTGCGCGTTGAGGCCCAGACTGATGGCACCACCGACAATCGGACCAGCGGCTTTGGCAGTTTGCCAGATGGCTGTTAAGCTGTTAGCATTTCATTGGAATCATTGGAATAAACATTGCCATACCCAAATAGAAAGCGCGATCCGCCGGACTGGGATAGCCGATGATGATCGCCGCCTCGGCCGCCCAGAAGAAACCGGCGGAGATACCACACAAGGCACTGCCAAAGAGCATGAACCAGGTGGTGGGCGCATAGTTGTTGGTGTAGAGACCAGCACCATAGATGGGATAACCGATAGCTCCCAGAACCAAACCGAAGCGCAGACCAATGCGGTTGTTGATGGCACCGGCGGCCACACAGACAATGGCGAACAATCCGTAGACCAGGGCGTTGGCTGCCGAGACAGCGTAGGGCTCAGCAGCTCCACCAGCGCCAAGGTTGTTCATGGCATCCCACATACCAGGCGCCGTGAACGAGACACCGCTGGCGATGGCAATCTGAAAGGGAATCGAGCGATAGATGGACTTGACGCCGGAAAACCGAGACACGCGCGGCATGTCTACGGCTTGCGGCGCTTCCTGGGCGTCCACCTCGTGGTTGGCAGATGCTGAGGCCATTGCTACTCTGAGACAGGTACACGACACGACACACGACACACAAGAGGCGAAAACTTTCAAGAAATGTCAAGAGGGAAAGAGAGTGTGCAGGGCAAGGTGGCCGGTCTATAAAAGAAATTTTTATTTTACCTAACGAAGCGGGTGAGTCAATTGCGTGATTGGTGTCGCGCCCTGCGTAATGGGGTTGCCAAGACGCTGGAGGCTTCCATTCCGTTTCTCTTGGCTAATCGTTTGCTGATAATCTTGATAATCCCAGACCCCAACCCTAACCCTCGTGGCAAATGCCATTGAATCGCACGAGGGCAGGAGGATCGTCTCCCCTGTCAGACCAACCTACAGCATTGACTTGACATGATTCAATCGGCAGTCGATGCCACACCTATGCAACGCTAATCATGTCGAGCAGTAGTCCATGCCCGTGATCAGCAGTTCACCTCACCGGGTGGACTTGCCACTCTTTGCCCGCCAAAGTGCGGTGGAGTTGAGAATTTTCTGCGTCCGCCACGCAACCAGCCAATCGGGCGGACCCAGCCGCCAGCCTGGAGCCAAATCCCGCCCGCCATTCCAGATTTTTCTTGAAGAACTTTGATAAGCACTTGATTGAAACCCGAGACGGGGACACTGTTATCGCCACGTGCCATTTTATGAGTATGCATTCAATTGCATAGATTACTTTACTGTACATCCACTCTGTCTAATGCAACCCATCGGCCACAAACTGCTCCACCCCAGCGGTAGGAGGCTTCCACGCTACGCGGTCCCTGGTAAACAACTCCACCGTCGGCCGCAACCTCGTTTCGTGCAAAGAAAATCCGTCCACCGTCCCAACCCGTAGCGCACTCATGCCCGGATAAGCCGCACTGACGCGATACATGAGCGATCCGCACGTGGAACAAAAATGGTTGGTCACCGTCGTTTCGCTCCCGGGGGATTTAGGCTGCGTGTATGTCTTCAGGACCGCCTGCCCGCGCAAATGTTTCAGGTGGGTGTCGTGGACGATGAAGCCGGTCGAGTGCATCGAGGCCGTGATTTTGTGGCAGTCGGTGCAGTTGCAGATAAACGAGACCACGAATCCGGGACCGTGGGTTGGCTACAGTTTGAATCGCTTGTTTAGTAGTTTTTCGAGTGGAAACATTGTTGGAATAGAAGCGTACAAAAGACAATTGCACGGCGCCGCAGAAGCAGGTTGCGGTTGCTTCGTCCGCGGTGGACCACCCATCACTTCCGACAATTGGGAAGTGCGATTTGGCTTCGCCAGTAGTTGATGCGTCCATCGATTATTCGAACGTATTATTTTTTTTGATGTTAATCGCCTCTGGGTGATTCGAATGCTGTCAGACCCTCCATTGTTGCAGTGCCTGGAAGTTTCGGCCATAGTTTATATAATCCGGAGAACAGCACTGCTGCCACAAACCCCTTCATCCATTTGTGTTGGAGCTGCATGACAAAACACAGTGCTTACAACTTGACTGTATTTCTAAGCATTATCAGACTGTGCTATGCAGGATGACAGCTTCAGCTTTTTAACGTGATTGATGGGATGACTAGTCCTTCGTACAGATGAGATGAGATGATGACGGGGGCAGGGGCCAAAAACGCGGAGATAGGAGATGACCGATAAGCGGATAACATAATCAGTAAGCGAGTCGGCCATGTAAGCAAGTCGGCCACTGCGGTCTTGGCAAGCGGCCGGTTATACTATTTATATTAGAATTTTGATTTATATATAAAAAATACAGTATTCTTAAATATTTATATAGCTGTTTAAATATCTGTAATTATACTTAATTCTTTTTTATTAAATATTTTATATATATATATTTAAGAATATTATATATACTACAGCAAGACAGCATACAGCAGCGAGATTAATTTTTTATAGATTTTATATTACCGGCTGTTTTTTTTATAGTTTAAGTATTTATAAAAGCTTTATAAACTTTTTAAATTATAAAGCTGTTTAAATTATTTATTTAATATTAATTCTGCTTCTGCTTGGTATTTTTTTTCTTAACAACTATATAAAGTTAGTTATTCTTATATTTTAAAAAAACTGCTTAGTTTAAGACTATCTTTATATCTTTAATAATATATAATATAGCAGTTTATATAAATAAAACCGAAAAATCAGAGTATTAAAATAGTTAAGATATTAATAATTTATATTTTTTAAATTATTTTAAATTTTTAGATATTTTAGTAATAGTTAAAGTAGTTTTTTAGCTATTTAGCCGGCTTTTTTTTTATAAAAAATAAGGCTATCTAAAATCTTATTTAGATTAAAAAAAACAATTCTAAAAGTCTTAAAGATACTTTATATATTTATAGATTTAAATATTTAAATATAGATATTTAGATATATATTAAAAAAATTAATCTTATTAATATAATAATATCTATTTTATATAAAATATTTAATCCAGCGGCTGTATACTTGCTTTAATAGTAAGAATACAGCTATATCTAAAAACTGATAAAGATAAAAAGAATTAGCCGGTATATATATTAAAATAATATTATTTTTATAATATATATTATTAAATTAAGATATTAAATAAGAGTTGTATTTATTAAAAATAAAAAAACTATATTAGCCGGTTCTTCGGTTCTTAATATAAAAAATAAAATATTTTTTAAATTAGTATTTACTAATTTCTTAATTAGTCTATTTATTTAGTAATATTATAATATACTATAAAAATAATAAACTATTTTTATATTATATTTATATATAAGTTTTTATCTTTAATATTATATACGCCGGTAATACTTATTTTATAATATTAATATACTTAATTAAAATTACTTATTTACAGTTTTTAGACTGTATAAAAAAAGATTTTTTATAATAAAATAAATATATTACTATTTTAACTACAGCTACTAAGTTTATAGTAAAGTCGGTTTTATTAAAATTATAAATATTTATATTTATAATTTTATATATAGTAACAGCAGTTTATATATATTAAAATTAGACTTGTATAATATTAGGATTTTTATATTTTAAATATTTATAACTAATTTAATATATAAATTAAGATTTTAAGATATTATAGTACTAAAAAATAAAGTTATATATTTATTTTTTATTTATCGAATCAGTTAATTTTTTACTATATTTTTGTATTAAGATTAATACTATATTATATATATAAAGTTGTCTTAGCAGTATACTATATTAATCTAATAATATAATCTATTTAATAAGTAATTTTTTTTTAAAAAAGTTAGTTTATAATAATTGGCGCGTGTTTTCTTACAATATATAATACTATTTAAATAATTTTAAAGAGTTAAATATAAAACTTTAAAAGTATCTGCAGTCTTGCGAATTAAATAAATTTAGTTTTTTTTATAGTCTTAATTATAAGATAGAGCCTGCCTTTTTATTCTATTAATAATTTTAATAATTAAAATATTTTTGGTGGATAAATTAATATCTATATACAGGCAGTTTTATGGGTATGATGGTGGTTAATGGGGTGGCCGACTTGCTTACGTGGCCGACTCGCTTGCCGATTACGTTAACCGATAAGCAGGAAATCCTCCCCGCTCCTCCATCCTTGCCGACCGTCGTTACTGCCCCTCCTCTCCAAGTTCTATTACTTTCATCTTCACGCTGCTCGAATCTCTGAATACTGGAAAGCATGCTAAGCTATCATTGTCATGACCATGCCTCTGAGCAAACAAACCACCTATACAATCCGGATGAACACACGCCCATAACGAGTCAATGGAAACTGCCCGTCATCCGTTCCCTCGAAGATGATTGAGACGGTCTCGCCAGTCTGCGCATCGGCGGGGATCTCCACCTCCGCCTGATCGTCTCCCACCTCCGTCACGGTGACATTGCCCAAGTAAGTGCCTTCCTCGAAAAACTGCCACCAAGTGGTGGTGACGTTGTTGGAATCGGGATCGCTGACATTTCCGACCAGGGTAACCGTCGTTCCGGCCTGTGCCTCGACTGTCGTTCCGTTCAAAATAGTCACGGACGGGGGGTGGTTGGCACTACTATACTTCGGAGTCAGGGTCCACTGCATGCGCGCCGCAAAGTCGTTCTGCGCCGCCCCAGCCCATCGGTCAGTGGTGTAGTCGTCAACTTCGACGCCCGCCTTGTTCTTCTCACTCGACACCATGACCCACAGATTGGGAGAGGTGGAATTCTGGTAGCTGCGACCGCCCCATCCGCCGAGACTCGGGTTTGCCGGGTTCTGCAGACCCGTCGTCAACAAGGGATTAAACACCACATTGTCTCCCTCAGACAAGAAGGCGTATGGATCCAGGGCTTTACAAAACGCAGATTGGTTTGCAGTGGCTGGGCTCCCGAAAATGTCCTGGGCATCGCCGGCCATGGACTGGCCATCGATCCACGAGCGGTAAAGCCTTCCGAGCGGTCCTGTCTGGATGTGCGCTTTCATCCATTTCCCCGTGAAGTACAGATTGTCGCCAGTGGAGCGTCCGCGTGTGTTACCCTGGCCTTTGTTGCAGTTGTAGCCCCAGGTCGTGTATCCCGGTTCCAGCTGCTCGACGCGGATCTGCGGCCATTGGAGAGAGATGTAATTCGCATACGTCTCGTCCTGGAAACCACTGGCTAGGATTACAGTTTTCTTGACGACTGCATCCCGAGTCTCATTCCACTGCGACCCGCCCGAGTACTCATCTTCGATCGACTTCAGCGCGCGCGCGATGGTGTTGGTGCCGCCCCAGGCCTGCAAGTACAGCGTACGTGAGTCATCGTCGAGGATAAGGGATCGGATGAGGTCCGAGCCCTCGGTATCTAGCTCCATCTCGCCCTCGAAGTTGATATTGCCGATCTTGATCAGAGATGCAAGCTCGTCAGGGGTCGGGTAGGCGGGATCGTGGTTGTTCAGATTGGGCCAAATCTCGGCATAAGCAGGGAGGACTTTGTCCTGTAGGGTGCGTGTGCCGGTCCAGCGCCACGCCCACTGCGGGCTGCTGTACTCGCGATCGGGCAAGAAAAATTTGGTTCCATTGCCGTCACCGGACCAGTGGTACCGGCTGGAGCTATAGATGATTGCTTGGGTGTCGAGCTCGTTGGTGTAGAGGAGGTATCGGATCAGGGAGGCCAAGTCGTCCTGCTCGAGGTCGGTGGTCACCACGGTTCGCAGCATTGAGGATCGGTTGGCACCGCATACTGTAGCAGGAAGCGCTGTGGCCAGCAGGCCGAGTGAAAGTAGCCCGCGAACAGACAGTTGCATACTGACTGCTGATTGTGATGAGCTCAAAATGGTCTACTATCCCACTTCCGTAGGATAGTTCAAGGCTTAAATATTTGTGCTCAGAATACATGATGCCATCATCGTAGAATTTCTTCAGGAAATGCGGAGAACCGTACCCCGCAAATTGAAGATGGGGTATTGTGGGGAGGACCATGTGGAACAATGCTCTGGCTTCAAATCAGGAAATGAGTGGCTACGGTGGACCGTTTTGTCTGAAAACTTGGTTTTCTACCCGCGCGGTTGGATTGCCCCGATTGACTCAGGGACGGGGCTTAAAATTGCCGCTTTGGCCTTGCCCACGTATGTACCTTGTACTGTACTAGAGGCGATCATGTAGAACACAGAATCGGCTCACTAACCACCACCAATACAATTCCTAATTCACATCACTGAAACAGTATCTAGATCCCAACGCTTTACTTTTCTCGAAGCTTGTAAACACAAATACAGATTAGCCTATCCTTGCTAACTTCGATGCTGGCAATGTCTTCGAACTTCCATGTTTGGGCAGTGTGGGTCTCCTGCTGCAGATGCAGGCTGCCATGGTCGCCGGAACCAGTATCGACATGCATTCAGACCAGCGGTGGCGGCATCATGACCTAGTCCAAACATGTTCCAACAGGAGCATCGAGCCATTCATTCCATATTTGACCTTAGAGAAACAAAAGTGTGTACATCATAGACCCAGCACACGCCCAAAAGTGGTGTGCGCATGGTCTAACCTTGGACACAGACAACCTCTTTTGCCCAGACCGAAATGAGGAATAATGCAAGGAATGTATTGGGGGTTAAGCTACTGCCAAACCTCAGTTGAGTATTATGTTTCAATTCCCCTCAGTTCTTCTAATTATATATTCGTGGCTATCATGTCAATTGCCATGCCGCATAGCACTCAGTTTGTCCATTACTCCCCATTCGGCACAGTACAAAACTCAAGCCGCCAGCACCAGCCTCACCGCGGAACCCTGCCTTCCCCACGCCATCTGAACCGGAGACCGTCTCCTCACACGCACCTCCACCCTGTTCAATCTCCTTCTCTCACCCGATGAACTCGACACGCTCAACTCTGAATCCGAACTCGAGTCTATCGTCAATGCAGCCCCCAACCCCCTCGTATCTCCAATCGCCCTCTTTGAACATACCCGCTTTAGAAACCCGACAACCTGCCGTATACTCTCCGTATCCCTTGGTACAAAATGCCCCCCGAAGAACCACCGCACCTCCGGTGCGACAAACGCCTTCAACAACTCGCGACTTTCCTCCGCCGTGATCATGGTATCAAATACACCGATCGCGTGGAACGAC